AACAGCGTACTTCCTAGAAGACGCGCTTCTCTTCTCTGTTTTTCTTTCCTTCCTCATTAGTGGACACTTGTTCTCGGGCTAGACAAGGGGGATTCCCCTTCCCGGTCTCTCTCTCTCTCTCTCTCTCTCTCTCTCTCTCTCGCTCTCTCTTCCCATAAGCTCATCAAGCCCAAAAAGAGGACAACGGGACAGTCGTTGTCCACCTTTTGGAACCCCGTGATTGTCTTTCTTTTGCGGAAAAACAGTTCCGGACGGCTACGTGGTTGCGCTTGCAGAAATTGAGGGCGTTAGGGAAACAGCAATTTCACCGGCTAATCAAGGGCACGCTAGCAGGGGTTCTTTGAGAAGCTTCAGCCCCACAAAAAAAATTTCGGAAGCTTACTGTTGGTACTAGTCCAAAAAGCGAATGGAAAAGCCAAAAATGACAATTCACCCATCGAAACGGAAGCCTAGTTTATAAATTCTCCAGCTTATCAGCTAAAGGGGTATAAGCTTAGCTCGTCGAGCCGCAAGGTCAATCGCACTTCCGATTGGTAAAAAAAATTCAAAAACACCAGCTATACGACTGATCTGAAGCTAAAAACCAGATATAAAAATAACCTTAAGCTTAACCGTTCCACCGTAACCATATAGAATTTTCCGAAAAAAACCCAGACACCACCCACCCACCGTTTGACGCAACAACCTATCGGCGTGGATATATTCAGTCGGAAATTGGGCACCTCACCCCACCTACTGCATATCCATTACTGCTTTTCCTGCTTCTCCTTCCGCTTCTCCCCCCTACTGCTCTCACCCCCGTGCGCAAATAATACGAAACGGATCGGGTAGCCTAATCGGGGGAGGGGAACGGGCGGGTTTTTTGCGGGGCAGAAAAGTAATGCTACTCGAACCGAAGTGGGGATGCAAGGGAAAGTAATGTTGCGGAATATATTGTAGTTGTTGGCGTTTAAAATGCTGTCTTTCTCCAAAAATCAAAAATTAAAAAAAAATAATTAGCAAAATTCGGTTTTTGACGCACTAAATCCCTCTAAATCTGGAAAAATTATGATTTGACCAAATCTCGCTTCCCTCTCTCACGCCCTCTCTCTCACTCTCGCGCGCTCGCTCTTTTCCTCCCTCTTTCTACTTCCTTCTCTCTCTCTCTCTCTCTCTCTCTCTCTCTCTCTCTCTCGTATACGCAGCTCAAATGAAAAATATATAAAAGTGCCTCCGATCTTTGAGTCACGCCCGCGGTTCCGCAAAACGCCAATGATGTTGAACCAGATGTCACACGTGGGTCATTTCCATATCTCCTAAATACATATCTCTTAATTCCATATCTCCTAAAGTCATATCTCCTAAAAGTCATATCTCCTAAAAGTCATTTCTACTAAAAGTCATATCTCCTAAAAGTCATTTCTCCTAAAAGTCATTTCTCCTAAAGTCATTTCTCCTAAAGTCATTTCTCCTAAAAACCTTACTTCAGGAGTTCAGTAGATACAAGCAAAAAATTTTTGTAATTTTTTTCGGAACATCTACAAAACCGCCCGCAGGCTTCGGAAAACCCGAACGAAAAACCTCACTTCCCTTTTTATGTTGAGATCGGATATGATATGTTTTCGCTTTTCACAGGCGCGAAACTTTTGCTTAATTTACAGCTAGCTTGCGTTTGATCCGATGTTTTTCACTATTATCCGACCATCTTAGAATGTTCAAATCGGGTTTTTTCGAAACCTGTGGGCGGTTTTGTAGATGTTCCGAAAAAAATTACAAAAATTTTTGCTTGTATCTAATGAATTCCTGAAGCAAGGTTTTTAGGAGAAATGACGTTAGGAGAAATGAATTTTAGGAGATATGACTTTTAGGAGAAATGACTTTTAGGAGATATGACTTTAGGAGATATGGAATTAAGAGATATGTATTTAGGAGATATGACCGGAAATCGTCACACGTTTCCGGGTACAACCCCGAACAAAGCGAAAAATCGACCCAAAAACGTCTTCGAAACTCCCGAGGGCCCGGTCATAAACTGTTTGCCCTCATTCACTTTGTGTATCAACACCACCTCAGCTGAGCCGAGCCCCTAAAAAAGTGACGATTGGAAAATATTTACAAGCACAACAGTGTTGAATGGCCCCGTCGGGCCATTCAACAGCTGTTCGCGCTCCATTCAACAAAACCCTCCTTTCATGACCCGCCAAGTGTACGCGAACCGTCTATCGACAAATAGTTGGGGTTAAATATAGCTGCGGCGATCACATCACCCTCACGTCGTTGGGATTAAGACGAAAAAATGGTTGAGGATCTCGGAAATTACTGAAAGGACGGAAAGCGCGCGCGCAGTGATGGCTAATTTAACCACATTATAAGAATATCCCGGAAATATTCCGACAAATCACGGAAAACTATGATTTTTTAGCAATAACCACCGAAATTTATCAAAAAGTCTTAGACCTAGGAAATGACGAATCTTATCAAATTCTCACTACGTCGCTATCCCAACGATCCGAGCACAGCCCTAAAAAAGGTTCAGCGCGCTGGAGAGAGCCGCGCATCGGACTAAAATTCACTTCCCCAGGTCCAAAAATGATGAAACAGGGTTCCAAGAAATTACTGAACTTTTTGGAACTGGTACTCCATTCGCGGGCTGGAAATTCTAGGTAAAAGTCGGCAATACATTGTATAAAACGGGCACCAAATTGTTGTTGGACGAGCCTCCACTAAAACCTTTTTCAACACTTGAAAACAACCAAAATGTCGCATCTTCTGAACCTTCTTGCCCTCGTCGCCGTGATCGGGATGGTTTCGGCATACTACGTCGTTGTCCCTTCACAAATCGATGAGGTTCGCGCTTACCGCCGACTGCCTCACGAGTAAGTTCAAGCTTCTTCACGAAGTAGGTTCTAAGTGCCGAAATACAGTTTGTGATCCAAATATAACTATTCGGCCTTGCAAGCGCTGAAATTAATAAAATTTTCAGCGAACTCAGACGCGTCAAGCGCCAATTCGGCGACTTTATGCCCAGTTCACTTGGCCAAATGGGTAGGTTAATAACCGTTGCTCATAAACATCTTGAAAAGGGAAAGCTTTGTAAATTCAACCACTTTCTAGCCGGAATGATGGGTGGTGGATTCCCGGGCATGGTCCAGTCGAGCCAAGACCGCTGGGGCTCGTTCAAGCAGGAGCGCAACGGCGGCTTCAGCAACTCCGACAAAGCCTTCATCATCGGATGAAACTCCTTTGATCGCTAATCACATTTCTGTAAATTTAGACGTTGAATAAAAGACTTGATGTTTCGATGTTTATTACAGTTTGATACCGATTCCTATAGTTCAAAGTCCCGCGGAAACGCGAGACATAAACCGAAAAACGAACTAATTTGAGCTCGTGATCCTCTACGAACTTTCAGAAATAGAACAATGGAAACCGATAATATGCTTAATAATAAAGCTGTCATTTTGAAGTCGCGAACAAGTCACCCTACAAGATCGTACGCCGATTTGACCCGCCTATTCACAAGATTTCTAAACATTGAGAGAATTCTAAGTAGAAATCCACGCGGAAACGTAAGTAATCCCAAGATCAGTTTTTGGTAGTAATTTAGCCATGATAGATCTGGAATTCCTGAAAACGACCTCATGATCTCCTAAAAACCTTGACTAATAAATTTAGACCCAATAAATCTACCCCTGAAACTCTGAACCCCTGAGAATTAAACAATCAATATCAAACCGACCATTAAAGGTATCGAACGCATTCAACATTTCGCTTTGGGAAACCGAAAAATCGTGCCCCTAGAACTTGGTTGAATCGACACGGGACAACCAAGTCGCGATTGTCGCGCGCGAGTCGTGCACGAGACGCGCGCGAGACGTGCGCGAAAATGGTCGCGACTCGCGCGCGACAATGGCACGATTTGTTTCTCCCGTGGACAAGGATGTACCACCGGTCTCTGCCTCCTCTTGTCTCGTGCCAACCGAAAAGAGATGATTCCGGGAACAACCAAAACAAGGCGAGAGCATACCGGAGAAAGTCTAAAAATCGCGAGCCCTCTCTGGTGGTGATGAGACATCCTTCCCAGAAAGGTCAATTTTGGCCATAAACCGAAAAATAAAGCGATTCTAGGTAGAGCGTCAAGAAATGATGCCAGGGAATGGCAGGTAGGGCGTATATAAGCCTAGGCGTCGAGATCTGGGTATCATCACTTCTTTACCTACTTCGATACCTGCCCGAAAACAACTAAAATGTCGCATCTGATGACCCTGCTTGTCTTCGTCGCCATCTTCGGCTTGGCTTCGGCATACCTTGTTATTCCTGGGGTTGCTGACTACCAATTTGCACCCAGCGAGTAAGTTTTCAAAAAACAAAAACCATCAGCTAGGATTGCCTTCATAAACCTTGTCTAATAGACTAGTAGTTTAATTCTAAGTCATCACGAAAAATGCAGATTTTGAAAAACGCCACATTTTCAGCCAAGCAGTTCGAGTGAAGCGCCAATTCGGCAGCTTCATGCCCTTCTCAATGGGCCAAATGGGTCAGTTTTTCAAACTCTATCTCCTGGATCTCGTTGCTTTCAAAGTTTTACACTAATCAAAAACGGACGATTATGACTTGACCAAACCTCTGTTTTTAGCCGGAATGATGGGCGGCTCATTCCCAGGTATGGTCCAATCAAGCCAGGATCGCTGGGGATCGTTCCATGAGGAACGCCAGGGCGGCTTCAAAAATTCTGACAACGCCATCATCGTCGGCTAATCGCATTTCCGCCCTTTTCCATAATTTCCAATGGCTGTACATTTTCGGGTAAAATAAATGTCGAATTCTCAGGGTACCAAAAGGTCGCACTCGTCAAAACTGCAAATTCGTCAATTCGATCAGCAAAAAGCCACAAACTATTTATTCTCAGGTTCAATGAAAATCCTTAATATCGACAAAACGAATGATATGCACAAGTACGATGTGTTTGAATTACACGAAATTTAACGGGAGAGAGGGGTGGAGGGTTAATTGGCAGGCTAGTGCTTCTCGTCCTCGGGCTGGTCCTTGCTGCCGCCCTTCTCCATGCTCGCCTTCTTCGTTGCCTTCTCGCTGTAGACCTTGATCACCTGGGACGATTTCTCGTGGTAGCTGAAAAAACAGAGCCCGGAAATTATGTATTTTTATAGTGCTTACCTTGTTTGGCTTTTGACTCACATTTTTGCCCAGTTCAAAAATTTTAGAACATTTTTATGGTTTTTACATTGGCTTTTCTTATCGAAACACGCTATAAAAATCGTTTATATTACGTTATTGGGACATTCGCAATTACTAGGAAAAAATTGGTCCCCAGTCCAGAACCTACCGTCTCTGCACCTCGGCCAGCGATAGCACCTCCTTCACATGGTCGGCCTTCAGCTTGGGTAGCGTCTCGAGAGCCGTCATCGTCTTCTGCAGCTGCAACTCGAACGCCTTGATCGCGTCGTCGGCCACCTTGCTCTTTAGCTGCACGAACGCCGGGTCGTCGGTAGCCTGGAAGTCGAAGCATATGGTAGGGGAGAAAGGCAGGAAAAGAGAAAGAGGTAAAAACAAGAATACCTTCAAGTCCTGCTTCGCAAAGTCCATCTCATAGCGGCAGCGCTCCAGATCTTTGCGCTCCTGCGCGATCACCCAGTAGTCGTAGTTGATGAAGGTCCTAGAAAAAGTTATGACTTCTACAATTCTAAAAACCTACCGGATGCTGTGAATCGATTTGCGGACGCGGCCCAGATACTCGCGATGGATGCTGCCGAGTTTGCGGAAGATGGCGACGGACATCTCGCGGCACTAAGAAAGGAAAAGCCGTTTGGTAACAGATACAAATACTCACCGCATACTCGCCGAAGGCCACCTCGTTCTTCATCGACTCCTGGACGAGCTCGTGCGGGTCACAGTTGGTCGGCGGCATGATGGGCATCTGGGGGTCATCCTGGAAGAAAAATTGATTTTCGTTCGAAGATTCTATGCACCTCATTCCTGAAGTAGGGGTTCTGCTGCGCAGCAGCGATAATCGCATCAGCCAGGTCATCGACGCACAACTAAGAAGAGGGTTGAAAAACATTCAATGTCAAACCGAACCTTGTAGGCGTCCAGCTCGTCGACGTGTGCCTTGAACGCCTTCGGGTACTCGGTCACCTCGCTGACGCCCACCTTACCCTTCACTTGCGCGAACAATTTTTTGAACTAAAACAGGAAAGATAGGCCAGCTATGGAGAAGATGATACCTTGTTGGGCTGTCCGCGAACCGTCTCCTTGAGGACGCCGCGCACCATGGCTTCCGGGGCCTGATCACGTGAGCCTCCCGACACCCCAGACACCCTAAATGGCAGGCCTTACTCGACTTCAGCTAAATGTTACATAGACGCGCCCATCTTCTCCTGGCTGATGTTTCGGTCCGGTGAAGACTCCTAAAAAAGTTGCGGTAAGGATACGGCTGAATATTTACCCCTTTTGAAGGAGGCTGCTTCCCTTTTTGGCGTCTCAGGCATCCGGACGGTTGGGCGAGTGGGGTGGAATGATATTCCAAACACCCCAACTCCCTTCCCTTCATAGTTATGTATATTTTTATATGCAAATTTTTACATCTTCTCATCAAAACCCACTCCCAGTTGCTGCAGTGCCCCCTCATAGACCATCAACTCATTCAGCAGGTGATACTTGCGCACATTCCCTTCCAATTGATTCGAAAAAAATCATTTTATTAAAGCACAGGACACTCATCGATATTCACAAAGGCACATGGCCGAGGGCATCACAAATAGTAGTAGCACAGCTAGAAATTATTGCCATTTTGGAAGAGAAAAGTGACATGTTTGAGCCATTGAATATCCGATACATTATTAGATTTACAGTTACAGCCACTAGATTAATGGGGGAAAATATTATTAGGTGGAATCAGCGAGGGCACAGGTAATAGACGAGCCCCGAGATGGGCTATTGCTCGCGGACGCCGGCGTAGTAGGTGGGATGAGCCTGGCGGTCGTTGATCGTCGGCCTGTTGAAGGCGTTGCCACTCGGGGTGTTGTTGTTTGTAGGCGGCTACAACAAACAATTGCAAGAAACATTAATGAAATTTACCTGGCTGCGCGATGGCAGAAGCGGCTTGCCGTAACCCTTCCCGCATTGATCCACGGCATCATGATGGCTTCGAAGCTCGTGAGCTAAAAAAAAGAACAGAATAACCACAATCAAGCGTGCATACCGATTGAGCGGGTCGAATGTCATCAGCGTGTTGATGGTGTCCTGCACTCTTCCGACAACGGCAGGCTGGTCGGGAAGCGGTACCGGCGCTCTCTGAAAACCAAGAACATAAGAACAGAAAGATCCTACTTACTTTTGGTTTTTGACGATCTTCTGGTTGTCGAGGTCCTCGCGGAACGGCATCGTGTCGGTCGTCATCACAAAGCCCACGACACCAATCGACCTAAAACAAAGAAGTAATTAAAATAAGGCGAATCTGGATTACCAAACATCAGCCTTGAATGGGTTGTAGGGGTTGCCGAGCAGGATCTCCGGCGCCGAGTAGGCCTTCGAACCGCAGAACGTCTCCGAAAATTCGCCCTCGACCTAATAGAGGTCAAAGTGCGCAAATGTAAGGTATACCTTGCGTGAGAAACCCAAATCGGCGACCTTCACATCTTGCCCAAAGATGACAATGTTCTCGAGCTTCAAGTCACGATGGGCCACGTCGACGCTGTGCATGTAGACGATGGCGGAGCAAACCTGAAGAAACTTTGTGGAAATTGAAACGAAAATTACCTGGTAAAGCCAGAAAGCGGCCTGGGGCTCGGGCACAGCCCCGTTCTTCTGCACATGGCTCAGCTAAAACACAATGCAATCAAATAACGCCAAAAAGGCTTTACCATGTCTCCTCCGCTGCCAAACTCCATGACGAGGAACACGTGGTCGAGGGCCTCGTAGTGGCGGAACAGGCGAATGATGTTCGGATGGACGAGCATCTTCCAATTGGCCAGCTCTCGGGGCAGGAAGCGCTTCAGGAAGTCCTTGGTCACCTTCAGCTTGTTGATCATCTTGATGGCCAGCTAAAGAAAGACCGAGTAAGCGCAAAAGCATGATCTGATACCTCGAATCCGTTGAACGCCTGGGCGGTGATGACTTTGCTGTAGCGGCCGCTGCCGAGCTTGCGCGAGTGGTCCAGCGAGATGCCCTTGGCGGCGAAGAGTGTCTTGATCACGGCATTCGGGTCAATCTAAATTGTAAAAAGTAAAGCACACAGAAGGAAAGTACCGGCGGGCGCGGAGCCCCCAGGGGCGGCATCTGCGGGACCTGCCGCTCGCCATCAATCGATCGGTTCTGCAACATCGGGCCGCGAACGGGCGTCTGGCCGGATGAAGAGAAGACGCGCTGGTCCCGTGTACTGTAGTAGACGTTCTGAGCGGTCATCGGCTGCCGAACAGGAGTTGATTGGTCTAAAAGTAAAAATGTAGAATAGTAGGAGAGAAGTAAGGATATCCGAAAAACTCACTAGAGCGTGACGGGTAGTTAGTGTGGTTGACGTGGCGCGGCTGCAACCCCTGGCCGGTCTGCGTGGGCGGCTGCGGGATGCCGTACGGGTTGTTCTTGAAGGCGCCCTGCTGCATGTAGTTCGACGGCTGCGGCGTGGTCTCGTTGTTGTTCTCATCGGCCGGGGTTGGGTAGGAGAAGCCTGAAAAAGAAACGTTAGATGAAAATGGAAGAAATATAGGACAAGCGAGATGATAAAAGCTCACCGGGAGGGCGCGGTACTTGCATTTGTGGTTGACGATAGTTGCCCTCGGCCTGGTGCATCTCCGGAGGCCACTGAAACGAGCGGATAGAAGTTAAGATAAAAACCAGAAAAGTAAAAAGAAAGCAATGGCTGGGTAAAGAAATGATGTGAGGAAAAAGTCAGAATTTCGGTTGGGGAAGTAAAGTTTAGCCAAGAAAACTGATAAAAAAGGAAAAAGAGAACAGACCATGCCAGAAGACAGTGAGAGAGACGAAATGACTGAAAGTTTCGAGAGCTGCCACGGAAAAGTAAATTAGCAAATCAACATTCAAAGCTACATCCGGAAACCCGTTCTTCGAGAAATGAAAATTGAGCGGCGCAAAATCTTTACCCTTCAGTGCCCACGGCGCGTAGGCGTCTATTGGAAACTCTCGTAGGCCCCCAAACGTCATTAGGTGTGCAACGTTTCTTCCAAGAATACAAAAAAGGCAATTGAAGACCGCAGTAGAAAAGCTTATGTCAAAAGCTTGCGCTTCAGCTGAACCTTCATCAGCAGAATTTGAGTCGCGAGCGGCGGCTCAACGCACTCTGTCAATTCAGCGCACCCAATTTTCAATCGAATTCAGCAAGTCCCGAAATGGCAATTTTTCTCTTGGTGATCAAAACATTTATTCAACACATCAACTACACGTAAAATCTAGGAATGCTTAGGTTCGCTTCGGGATCTTCGCCAAAAACTCCTCGTCCTTCAGTTCATCTCGCAAAATGTCGAGCCCGCCAATTAGTTCGCCGTCCAAGTAGATTTGAGGGAACGTCGGCCAATCGCTGTACTCCTTGAGGCCCTAGAACAAAAAGAATTACAACTTTTAACGAGACGTTACCTGTCGCACGGTTTCGTCGCTCAGGATGTCAAACGTCTTGTAGTCGGCGCTGATTCCGTTTAGCATCTCGACGGTCTGACGGCTAAATCCTGAAAAACAAAAGTTGATACGAAATTTGTGCAGCAAGCCTACCACATTTTGGCTGCTGTGGATTTCCCTTCATGAATAGCATTAGCCGGCTGGTCGTAATTAGGCGCTTCAGGCGATCGTTCAGCAACTAAACAGGAAATGTATTAGGAAAGACTAACAAAATAATTACCTCTTTTCGCGGCAATGATTTTACGAATTCTTCGTCTTTCAGTTCCTCGGCAAACACATCGAGCCCGCCGAGTAATTCGCCATTGAGGTAGATTTGCGGGTAAGTCGGCCAGTTGCTGAACGTCTTCAGGCCCTAAAAAAGAGAAGTATATATCGAAAAATAGAGAATTCAACCTCGCGCACGCTGTTGTCTTGCAGAATATCGAAGGTGCCAAAGTCGGCGTTGACATTGTTCAGCAACTCGATAGTGCGGCGGCTGAATCCTGAAAATTCTCCGATTATTGATTCAAGCAAAAGATACCGCATTGTGGCTTCTCGGCATTCCCTTTCATGAAGAGCATCAATTTGTGCGAATTGATGAGACGCTTCAGCCGATCGTCAAGGTTCTAAATTAAAATATCAACTGAAAGCGGCAACAATTTAAATACCTCTTGTTGCGCGGGGGCAGCTGTTGCAGGTGCGCCGGTTCCTTGCTCAACGATAGCCTCGCGAATCTGTCGCACTTGGTAGCCGTTCACCCGTGAGACTTCTTTTCCTGCCTAAACGAGAAATCCATAAAATCTAAAAATTTTACCTTGTAAAATATCACCGTCGGCGCTGCGGTCACTTTGTAGGCCAGTGAAATCTGCGGCAGCCCTTCGGCATCTACATAGGCGGCCTCGAACGGGGCTTTCAGCTCGGCCTGAAACAACTACAATACAAAATCCACACGAATTTACCTTTAGATCATCCAACGCTGTATTCAGCTCCTGGCATTGTGGGGCCCAAGACGCGTAGAAGTGGACGAGTCGCAAGCTAGATTTAATTAGAGCGCAATAAAACAAAGCAACCTGTCGGGTTTGATGAAATTCTTGAACGCAGATTCTTCTAGGAGTTGCTGCGGCATTTTCCTGAAACACTTCGTGTATTTGGATTCAAATCGTTTCAAAAGAAGAGAGGAGGGGGAGAGGAAAACGGCAACCGGTAAAGTGCGAGCATTCGAGCGCTTTGTAAGGTTCGAGCGTTTTTGACAAATGTCTGAATACTTGCAAGAGCGCAAAAGTATGTAATTTTGCAACCAGGTTTGCAGCGCAGTCAACGATGACATGAGTTCCACATTCGAGTAACGTGTCTATTTTATTTTTCTTAGTTAACTGAACTAAATTCATAAATTGCCTGTAATATCAGAGCCTCTTATCAAAGCGTTTGGCCTCTTACAGTTATTTATTATGGAATCCGTCAAAAAGCTCGAGTTTTACAAAACGCCCGAGATTTAGAAAGCGCTCTAACGCTCTAAACGCTCGAGTTCTACAAAACTCTCGAAAACTTAAAATTTACAAGGCGCCAGAATGCGAGAGAAAAGAGCGAAAAAGTGAATAAAAACGATCCCGGAAAGTCGGATCGCATGGGATGATGCAAGGTATTTCTCGTCCAGGGGAGCGCGCTGTCGTCTTTGATCAAGATTTCCTTTTGTAAAATTGTAAATCGCAAAACTTTGGAAAATTAACAAAAAAATGGTCAGGGCAAACTGGCGATCGGGTCCACACGAAAAGCCGCAACATCGAACGTCGTTCCGCGCAATTCCAAATGACGCCTTATCCACTGGATAGCATGGATAATCGCGGACGGGCGCGCTCCATTTCAAAACTGAGCGCTTTTTACTCCTCTAAAGGGACCAGGAAACGAAATTGAACTTGAACCTGAACTCCTAGCAACGGCGAATATCATAACAACTTCGTGTGATTTTTCTGACAGTTCTGAAACTTCAAATTGGTCGCGTAGCAACGAAATTCTGGCGGGTTTTGAGGTTTGATCAGTAAACCGGTCCGTTTGCTATAGCTTTCATACTGCCGGAAGAGGCCCAGACTAAATATGATATTATTTTCCGTACTGCTGCTGATTATAAAAGCGGAAGACCTTCCAACCTTTGTCGGATCGGCTTTGCTAGATCAAGGTTGCTATCAGGCCTGTCAAAACCTGGAAGCTCGCTTCGTGGCTTACTATTCCAACGACACTTGTCAATGTATTACCGTCTACGCTGGAAATGCCGGCAACGGTCTCACCTTGGATAACGTCGAATCGATAGGGGCTGTTTTGGAGACGGATAGTCAGACGAATTACTACAAGGATCAGCTCGTGTATGGGGTAAAGTTATGACATTACTGGAAAGGAATTTGATAAGCCGAAAAACGTTTCGATCGGCAGTAAATGCCAAAGTGTAAAGACTTTTTAGCCCCTAAAAATGTCGACAATGCAATCGCTGCTTATGGCGCCGTTTGTGGTTAGCAGCACTTCGGAAACGGCCATTTCTAGTGTGGTTATGAGCACCGTACCAACCGGAAGCGTAAGTCTCAGTCCCTGATCGCTATTGGAAGTGTAGCGAAAAAAACTACTTGTGATGTTGTAAATTCTAGGCAGGAAAAACACAAACAACAACCACCACAACAACTACGAAAAGCACAACGAAAGCTACAACAAAACCACGACCAAGCCAACAACGAAAAGACCACAAAAGCAACAACCAAGAAGACGACGACAAAAAAGGCGACAACTACGGTTTCTTGGTAGTACGACAATTAAAAGAACTCTAGAAAAAGTGCACTACTTACTGGGGCGAGTGGGGAGCGTGGAGCGCGTGCACTGGTAGTTGTGGAAACTGTGGGCAGACAACGCGGAAGAAACCATGCGTCTCCACCGGACCCGCTTGCAAATGGTTGGTGGTTGGGAACGTATCGACTAAACCCATTCCAGGAACTTTCAAAAAGAATCCGTTAGCAGCTTACATTTTTAGTGGAGCACCGCAGACACAGATCAAGGCATGCCCATCCGCGCTGTGTCCTGGCCTGTGGGGCAGCAGACCGGGTTGCGATTGCGGCGGTGCCAACGTGGCCTACCAATGCAGCGAGATATGGATCAAGCAGTAATTAATATACATTAATATTGAAATAAATTTGTCACCATTCTGTAGTTCGTCAGAGGTAGTAAAGCTGAAAGAGAGAGAGAGATAGAGAGAGAGAGAGAGAGAGAGAGAGAGAGAGAGAGAGAGAGAGAGAAGGCACAAGCGCGAGCGGGATAGAGAAACATTCTAAGTGGAACCTGAAGGGGAAGTAAAAGTATAAAAAAATAATATAAGTAGAAAAGCAGAATACGATATCCACCTATGCGGGCTCCCCAAATAAGGTAGGCGACGGAGGGAGATTCGGAAACTTAAACGGAATCCAAGGTTTGCATCTTGGGCTTGGGCCGAATTCGGGGGCATTCGGCGAAATAAGGCTGCTCAAGTCGGCCGACTTTCTCCGAGATCTTCCCTCGGCTTCAGCCTTGTCACTTGGTGCAAGACGTTGCTTGGTATTTCTTTTTCTTTGAGTACGGTCTTTTTGGCCACGAACGTAGTCGGAAACCTTTGCCCCTTTTTACTTTTTCAAAAATTAAAAATATTCCTGTCTTCTGGCCTCGAGAATTAAATGTGGTAAAAGTCCACAGGATCGAAATTCTATGTCGAAACTTGCTGGCAGATTCTTTGCAAGATTTTAGAAGGCCAAAAGATGCGAAAGCGCCCTGTTCTGATATTTTTCGGATGCTTTCAGAGGCCACCCTTCTTCCGGCGGGTTGACCGATGTCGTCGTCGTCATCCTCGTCGATCGCGTCGTCGACCAGCCCTGATTTCTTCTTTCGCGCCGATGAACTGATGAAAGATCGTTTTGTGCTAAAGCCGGAGTACCACGATTATGTGAGCGATGCTGCTGAGTCGACAGCCAGCGGTCAGAAATACACTTTGATTTCGGAAGGGGGAAGGAACTAGCATATCGCAAATTTTTATCAAAAATTAAGATAATATCGGTTTTTCGACCAGGAAAGGCCGATTTTTGACCAAAATTTCGACTTTTTTAAATTTTGGCAGGGTTTTAGATAGTTTTCTAGTCTAAATATAGCTATATATTGCCAAAAACGCTATTAAAATACTTTCTATTAACTTACTAGGCCTTTCTAACGCCATCCTGAAATGGCCAAAAAAAGGAACCTGCGGTACAATTGTTTTGCAGAAAATTCCGTGTCGACTGCATCGCTGAACTCTTCTACTCCAACGAGTTGGTCGTTTTCGATTTATGATTCTTTTGCATTACCGGGGGAGGTTTCAATCCGAACCTGTTTATGTAATTCTAGAAACGTCTAGTCATTTAATAGAAAGTATTGTTGCGCTGTTTTTTGAAAAAAATAACTATTTTTGAGCTAGAAAAACTATTCAAAAACATTGACAGTTTTCAAAAGGTCGAAATTTCGGTCATAAACGGCCATTTTCGTCGAGAAATCTCAATATTGTTTTTGTAATGATTAAGTAAAATAAAATCAAAACAAAAAATATCGATTTTGCCACCCAAAACTGTCCGTTTTCTGACCAGAATTTCGACTTTTTGAACAATTTTTAATTTTTAGATGGTTTTTAGGCCAAATATATCTCGATTAATATAAAATTTTTGCTGTTTGCGATTTGCGACACTTGGCTATGCTTCTGTCAATTTTAAGACCCTCCACACTCTTCCCGATGTGCTCTTCCAAGCCATCGTCTGGCCGCTGGATGCGAACACGCTGCTCGGCCTCGTTGACGTCGATGCTGCGATGGAGCTGCGCGTCAAGCGAGCCGAGAAATACCGGGGATCGTCGACACGGTGCCCGAGGGGTACATCGTCGACTACGAATTCGTGCCTTACAACCACTCGCTGTCGTTTCTGTGCAATGCAACAATCGGGAAACGGGACGAGGAGTACATCGACAAGTTGCCACTCTGCCGCGGCCTCCAAGATTTGCCGCTCGCGCTGCTCCGTATCGTCGCCGACGGCCTGGATGATAAGAGCTTCTTCCCGGCCGCGAAGGCCTATTCCCGCTTTGTCTGTACCGGCCATGTGGTCGGAGAATATTCGTAAGTCGGTAAAAAATGCGACCGGGAAACGCCAAAGTCCCGAAATTCAAAATCCGGACCGCCGAAATCACGACAGACGACAGACGAATGTGATATTTCCGTTGCCTGGCCGTCGGGATTTTGAATGTCGGGATGCTGGCTGTCAGGATTTTGGCTGGAATTCAATACGGGCCTGGGTAATCTTGCCGGGACTCGATAACCATTCAAAAACTCGGCGCTTTCGCATTATCGGGAGGGCTGTAGAAAGCTAATTTTTTTTCTATACTTCAATAAATCCCACTAAAGTAATTGCGAGTATTTTAAAACCTAATTTTTTTATTAAAATAGACACGTCTAATATTTTAAGTATTTGCAAGATATTTTTGAGTTACATATGATTATGCTTTGACTAGCAAAGCTACCTAAAACTTTGAAAATTTTTTTAAAAGCTCGAAATTTTGTCAAAAAGGCCATTATTGGTCGAGAAATCGATATTTTTGTCTTTTGACGTAAGCGCAATTTCAGGATGACTCGCGTGTCGATCCGCGGCCTCCGACAGCCCGACGGATCAAAGAAAACAGTGATCCGTGTGGATCGCCACCTCTACGACGATGTGCTGACGGCGTGGCTGATCAATAATGCAAGGGACCTGGACCAGATTGTATTCGACGCGACGATCACCTACTTCCCGGAGGGAATTCGCCTCCCCGACTGTGAACACTGGGAGCTCCTCCCGATTGAGGTGGGGGGAAGCGAAGGGCACACGACTGCAAATCACCCATGGTGATTGCCTATGTCTAAGCCTAAGTTTAAGCCCACGGTGGGCTGCCCACCTAAGCCTAAGTCTAACCTAAGCCTAAGCCCGCCTAAGCCAAGACCTAAGCCAAGCTTAAGCCAAGGCCTAGCCCTAAACATAAGCACGCCTAATGCACCTTAGCTAAGCCTAAGCCTAAACCGAAGCCTACGGCCGCCTAAGTCAAGCCTAAGCCTAAGTCCGAGCGTAGCGCGTTCTAACTTGCATAAATATGTCTTTTTACAGACCCAAAATCCGATCTGGCCCGGCCTCATCAACTTGTTCAAGCGGAAGTGCCGGAAGATCCTGCATCTTCGCGGAGAACCGACCGACGAAGCCATGGCGTGCTGGGGTGACCTGTTGAAGAACGGCGGCGCCACCAACAGGAAGATGCGTGGCTGGATAACGGCCGAGGTGAAATCTACAGAAACAAGACGAGCCGCATTTGCAGGTATACCCGCATCGCGACGAATATCTCCGCAAATGCCTTCAACTGATCCCCTTCAACGGCCGGGAGTTGAGCATCATGTGGTCGCGCGCACTGCACATCTTCGACGGGTTGCTCGACGCTGCCTGCGCAATGCCCCTTCTGAAGCACCAGAGAATCCGGGTAAATAATTCTTCGTGTTTTGGTCAAAAATGTATGAAAATGCCCAAAAAACGGCTAAGCCTACGCTGACTTTGGCGAAACAAGGCCTTTACCAATCGCAATATTTTTTAGATCTCTTTCTGGCCGCACCTGAGCCTCGAGCAGCTCATCTACCTCGTGCGCAATCAGTTCCGTTGGACAATGGATATCGGGGACGATGAATTTTTCCACACGTCGCTCGGAAGGAAGCGGCAAATTGAGGTCAAGATCGGACGCGAATACCTCTTGATGATGGGGCGCGGCTGGTGAAGTGGACGAGAGCCAGGTTAGAAGGTACTGGACTATGAGCGGGGAGGTTTTAACGGGGGTAGGACTAAATTTTTCTAAATCATGCTCACCATAGCCATACATAGATTGTATAAAGTTTTTAGATATAAAAAGCCATTAAAAATTGTAGGAAGTCTCAAAAAGTTCTAGCCTTTCCTCGAAAATCCATGAAAAAAATACGAAAAACGGCTAAAACGTTCGAATTTCCAATTTTTTTGAACATATTTCTATAACCTTTTAGTAAACGATGACTACTAAAGCAATAAATATACGCTATATAGACAAAAAATCAAAATTAGTTTCTTCCCGTTAAAATCCCTTCCCCCCCGCTGATAACCCATTACCAAGCCCTTTTCCAGAATCGACTACGCGCTCTTCCTAATGATGCACCCGACCCGTCGACACGTCCGCTCCGCTGCTCTACTACAAGAATTAAAATATTAATCGCTTTGTATTGATTAATTCGGGTGTGTTGACGAACAATTGTCGTGCGTACATGCTTGTGTTTTTTCGGGCTTTACCAAGGAATAAACAGATTTATATTCCCACAATGCACCTGAAAGTTCTTTCACGGGACAACAGCGCCGCGACATGTCCGCGCGGCCCGTGGGCTCGCCGTGCACGGGCCGCGACTCCGCCGTGCGCGCGCCGTGGTCGCGGACCCGCCGCGGAGAAGCCGCGCGCGCAGTGACCGCGCAGCCGGCGCCCTCCCGTGCGCGGTCAATGCGCGCGCGCGCCGCGTTTTCGCCGTGACGTCGATAGGTGTTGGAAGTACCACACGGAGAATTTCGCGATTTCATGGCGAAATCGACAAGTTTAAAAAAATTTTTTAGTTCAGAGAAAAACAATTATTATTACCTCGCCGTTTACTAAACTTTTATCGAAATCTGTTCAGGCCTGCGATTACTAACTACTTTCATAGCTTCATCCCGTTCGTCATTTGCCTCAGAACCTCGTTCCTTTTTTGTATCCTCAATTCGCTTCGAATTGTTTCATTGTTATTGCATGCCTTTTAGATAAAAAAAGTCTGGATGTCGAACCCAATTCAGGAAGGTGCTGAATGAAACCCTTCTTGCGGAAAAGGTATCCTTGATTCTAGGCTTTCTAAGTTCAAATTTAGGTTTGGTATCCCGTTATGATGCGCCAGCCACGTCGACGGGATTCAAGCCGCCGGCACAACGCTTCTCTATGCTTTTCACCACTAGCCTTTTTATCAACTTATTTTACTAAAGAGGTTTTTAGGCAACCGTCTCGAACGTGCCGCCGACATCATGGGCAACTAATGCGACGAATTTTCACTGCCGACAATACTCAAGTCAACTTGTGTTAGCTGGGATAATACTGGTCAGTGTTTCTTGCTTAGTTGTCACCGGCACAAGGTTCCGATCTATTTTTTCCTTATGAAAATGCTCATGGCCTGGGTGGCGCTGCTTTCAATATGGGTTCAATAGGGGTTTTCATAAGGAAAATAGGTCTTAACCTGTGCCGGTGACACCTCAAGTCTTGGCTATGTTTTTTTAGCAGACAGTTGTTTTCCGGAAGACAGGCTGCGAGACGCGAGCTGCTTCCTGCTGCCGAAAATACCCGCGCATAGGAAAATGAAGACCGACGATCAAAAGAAGAAGGAGGTATCGATCTTCATCTTTTCATCAATTTTTCTTAGATTTTGCTTGACGGCATGGGCAAATACTTGTGAAAAATCAAGTTGCACGACACGCGCCACCTTGATATGCGAAGCAGGCGTCCTACTTTTGGTTGGTTTTTTTAGCTAAAGTGATTAAATTTCCAAATTAGTGCGCTTCTTTTCCCTCATGTGTGCCGTTGCTCGACCAACCTACCCGCTGAATCTGCAGTGCTACTTGTAAGTAGAGTTTAATCTACTTCTATCTATTTTTTAGGGTTATGTTCGGAGTCTGTAGGCAGTCGGGCCCGATGTGTGCTATTCGACGACGCGCACGCCGCCGATGTTCAGGGACCAAGAAAATGTAAAAAGCAAACTTTAAATTATTATCTGTCATTTGTGAACAACCCGTTGTTTTTCCTATATTTGTATAATTTGTTCATCCATACTCTTCATTTTTCTGTGTCTACTGTTATCTTATCGCGTATTGTGATTTCATTCAAGTTCCTAGTCCATTATTGTATGATAAACTATTAGTGGAGCAAGGTGTATCTAATTTCGATTAAATGCACCCGAATACAAGGAAAAGTAAAGATATATTAATAGTAAAGGGGTTCATGCGCGGTTCCTTGCGTGCACGGCGCGCGGTCCCGCCGCGCACGGCCCGTGCGGGGCCGTGCCAGCCGCGGTCAATGCGCGCGCGCACCGCGGGCAACGCGCGAACGGGCCGGTACCGGCCCGTTCGCGCAATGGCGACGGCGCGCGCGCGCAATGACCGCGGCGCTGCTGTCCCGTGTTTATCCTGCGTGCACGGCCGGCCGAGTCCGTTTTAAACCATAACTTTTTTCTTGAGAACCCCATCTCGGAAGTTTTTTTAAGCTGTTTTTTGCTACCCCTAAACGTAAAACTTCGCAAAATTTTATTAAAAAAATGCAAAAAATGACGGTTTTTCGACCAAAATGGCCGTTTTTAACCAAAATTTCGATTTTCAAAAAATATGTGCTATTTCTTCTAGCTAGAATATAATTTTATTCTACTAAAAGATACTAAAAATATAACTAGTATGAAAGGACTTTCTATTAAGTTACTGGGCATTTCTAGATTAACAAAAAAAAACTACTTTGAATCTCTGCCGGAAATCGGAATAAAATCAGTTTACTGGGCGCACTTCCGGAAAAGCCAGAACGAGACGCCAGCTCTGATCGAATATCATTTTCCAATTGTTCGCCATGTCGGCGAGTATCTCCTTCTCCTCGACCGATGTCTCGACCGGGATCGACGCTACGCCATCCGCATCTCCTGTGACGGCCTCGTGGTGCGTCTCTACCTGCTATTCCGTCACCCCTACCACCTCGCCGTCGACTGCCACCTCCCCACCGTCATACTGGTAGTATTTTTGAGGGTTTTTGGACCGATTTTTCGCGAATAGCTAGGAATATTTTAGTCACTACTTGCCAATACGTAACTGTTCCCTTAAATACCAAATTTCAGGAGCGAATTCCTGCCGACGCCGTCCACTTGCATCTCCCTCACGCCATCTACGACACCTTCAACTGGCGTCTCTCCATCTTCTGATGAGTGGTATTTTTTTCTGTCATCTGCTTGCGCGATTAAAAATCGCGCGAGACGCGGTGGGTTTGTCGTCATATCACAACGGTTACTTTGAATACGCAGATACGCATGCGATGCTAGCCTACCGTATCTAGGCTTAAGGTTGTCCTACAGGGGCGTAAGGTACACCAAAAGGTTAGAGTGCAGTTTACCCCCCTCCCAGCCGGCACCCAATTTTTGTATCTTGTCCCTCCCTGGTCATCTACAGGTATGTAAAGTATACCAAAATACTCGCCACAGCAAGACGAACATTTTGGTATGCTTCACATACCTGTAGATAAACAGGGAGACGAGATACGGTAGGTGGGGTCGACTTTGGGGGGGGTTAACTGCACTTAAGCCGTCTCGGGTTATCAGCCATCGCACTTCTAGATCTTAACAAGTTTTTTTAATAAAAAGCTATCCTTTTTTATGGAAAAAACCAAAATAATAGAAAATTAGTTAGAAAACATGAAAAACGATTGACAGCTGCGTGTTTTCAGGGAGTCTCTGCCCAGCGAGGAGCTGGTCGACCTCTCGTGGTCTTCATCTGCCTTCCGCAATCACCACCGGCTCGCTTCGTATGCGAGGTATAAGGCTCTCCCCACTTGGCTTTCTCTCGGTTACAAAGCACGTGTCGTGAAAATGACTGTTTTCAGCTCGTCCTCCTCGGTGACCTCGTCGAGCACGGCGTTGTTCTTCTGGGACGCGTCGGCGCTGGCCGAGGATCATTTCGAGGTGATCATGTCCGCGCATTACGAAGACCTGAGCGACTTGACGGATACTGGTAGGAGTAATCGGTTTTTTGGATAATCCGGAATTTTGTAGGGGCGACGCGATCTCTTTCAATTCACACGGCAAATGCGGAGTCGCTTGACGGGGAAAACGGTGGCGATTCTTGAAAAATGCTGAACAACTTTACGGTCCCCAAAGCAAAATAAGATTTTTTCGGTTCTTTAGAATTATCGGGGGGGGGGGAGGGAAATTTTTTCCTCAGCAGCCTGTTTGTATGTGTTCCTTACTAGAAACACGATCAACACTCAATTTGCATAACACGGAAAAATCTTCCCCCGATAGTGTGAAAGTACCAAAAACTGTTTCTACTTTTATCAAAGCGGAGAAAAAATTTACCGCTTATCCGTTAAGGGTCCAGAACCCGACATCTAAATTTCACATCTATTACAATTTTTACAATGGTTGTTCAGCGCTCTCCGCGCTCCCCGACGACCTCTTCGCCGCGGTGATGTGGCCCCTCGATCCGGAGTCGCTGCTCAACGTCGCCAGCGCCGACGACGACTTCAAGCAGCGCATCCGTCAGATGCCGAAGTATTGGGAGACGGTCGATACGGTCTTCGATGGCTACATTATCGACTACCACTTTGTCACCTTTGCCGACGCCTCGATCCTGCTGAAAAACGCGACGATCGCCCGGGAGAACAAGGAGTACCTTGAGCAGATGCCCGTCTGCCGTCGCATTCAAGACATGCCGCTCGAACTTCTCCGCATCGTCGCTGACGGGCTCGACCATTGGGACTACTTCAGCGCGCTCAAGGCCGTGCCACGCTTCATCCACACCGGCCGATACGTCACCGATTTCGCGTAGGTCAATAGGCTCGACCTCGAGAAGGACGGGAACAGTTTTTGGTTAAGATAGGCTTCAAACGATTTTCTTTCGTTAGGGGGGGGGCGGAATTTAAGGTCGTCGATTTTTCAATTTTACATTATGTTTTTGAGAATACTTCAAAAATATACTGGGGGGTTTTATCCA